CAGTAGCTGGTAGTCCTGTGAGACGAGTTGACACGACCAATGGCTCGGGTCAAGCCTTTTAGACACAAACAGGCATACGCCCGGTTGGGAGAGATCCGAGGCTTGGACTTGATCGTCCTGGCCTTGGGTTGATCCATCAGCAGCTGCTTTTGGTGGGTAAATTAGCTGGAAAGTTGCCGTCGCTGGTTGGTGCGTTGTGTGTTGCATTTCGTTCTTCCATGGCCCCTGCACCGCGACGACGTCCGCCGCGAGGACATTTCTGTCTCTGAGGAACGTTGCCATCACTGGCCACGATTTGTGTACGTTGTATTGAAGAATCTCAAACGATTTCATTGATGAGTTTGTTCGTCATCGCTTCGTTCGCTGGCCTCGTGCCATACTTCATCATTTGGGTCTTCGATTGTTGGTGCATCCGTCGGAAAAAGCGGCGGAGATGATCCAATCGGTATCGCTTGCCGCTGCGTGTATTTCAGAATCACCAATTTGCGGTATTCGGGGCTCTCGGGGTCCAATTCCCCCTCGTCATCAGGCCCGGACGTGTTACCGGCCTCATTGACAGTGGTGACCTCGTTGATGAATTGGGTAAGTCGGTGTTCTAGGCTATCCTGCTGAGTGTCAGGTTGAGGGAGATTGGCCGGAGTGGGTTGAATGCTGAGCCATTCATTGTCGTCTGGTTGCTCGTCCATGGTGTCGTCCGGCTCGCCTGTGCGGCGCCTTTTCGAGGCCGCTTGGAACCTTGTTGACCCTTGGCATGCCAGCGGTATCACTGTTGGTTTGGGATTCTTTGGCCTCGTTCTTGAGCCCTTTGGGCGGCCAGGGCCTCTTTTGAGCTGAGTAGGCTGAGTCGGTTCAGTGACCTCCTCTGGTAATGTTTCTACTTCTATCGCTGCAGTCTCCACGTCCATTACAGCATCCTGGGGGTTCCGTGGGGGCTCTTCCCCCCGTTGCCCCTCCGGAGCGTGTATCGACGCTTCGAGTCCATTCGAAACCATGGGGTCTGCCCTAGTCGAAGGTGCTTCGTTGCCGGTGCTTGCCGTCACTCGGAGGTGCATAGGAACGCGGTGATATGCAGGGCAGTTGGCCAGCGCTTGCTCGGCTTCGTTCATCGCTTCAACCTTCACCGGACATTCCCGACTTGTAGGGCGATGCCCTTCACCACAATTGGCGCACTTGACTGGTATCGCTTGCCCCTTCGTCGACGGACACTCCCAGGTCGGGTGTCCGTTGGCGCAGTGACCGCATTTGAAGAAGTTGGAACAGTGTGACTGGATATGCCCCGGCTTTTGGCATTTTCTGCATAGCTTTATCCGCCCCTCACGACAGAATCGCGATGTATTGTGAATTTGCTTCCCCCACACGACTCCCGAGATGATCGCGCGATTAGCCACGACTGGGCTGGTGAACTCGATCAGGATGGAGCCCTCCGCCCTCTCCCCCGGACGGGTCAGCCATCCTAGATACTGGATCTTAGCGCCTTCGCCCCAATTGTTCTGCGCGAGCAGCTCAGCCGCAACGTCGGCCATCGTCTCCGGAGTAACCTTCATCGATTTCACGGGGATATGGTACGCCACCACTCCCCAGGACGGTTCTTGGATCACCGAGCCTGGTCCAAAGGCTCTCAGCCACGCAGCATGTTTGCGGAGGACCTCTGCCCCCGCAGCACTGCTGGCGATCATTGCCACATCCCCCGACGGCAATTTTCGAGCAGCGACAAATGAAGCCTGTCCGGCCAGTACCCCTGAATTCTTCTGACGGGCATTTGATACCCTCTGTCGTTCAGCCCTCTCGACCAAATCTTTTGGTGTTAATCCACGGACTTGCTCGCGGTTCGTTCCGACCTTGACGATGACCTCTCGGTCCTCGCGAAGTTCGATTTCCGGTACTCCTAGAGACGATGTGCCGCCGCTCCGGGTGATAGGAGCCGCAGCCGTAGCCAAGTCGCGCTGCCATTCTTTGGCCCGGAAGTTGCGCCACGCTGCTGCAGAGTTCGCCGCGGGGGTAGATAGTGCCGTCGATAATGTGTTCGTTGTCTTTTCAATAGTATTAATTCGCTGGTTCAGGCGTTCGGTGCCGGCGTTGATCTTGGTCAGCGCCTCAAGCACCTTGGCCATCCCCTGACCGTCTCCCCGTTGGGCGTTTAGTGCGTACTGGCGGACGGCACGAATATATCCAGTGACGTACCGGTCCTCTGTGCCATTGTTCTCGATGTGGTTAAGCACCCGGCGGGCCCCTTCCGCGATGTCGTCCATGGATCGGGGCGGATCCGCGAGGGCCGTGGTTTTTGGCGTTCCTCTCCTGTCAGGGGGCAAAATCTGTGCGTTCGCACCCGTCCCAACCATCGCTGCCATCTCCCCTATGAAAAGGGTATCAGGCCGTAGCGCTTGAGGTTACGATTACGATGAACTAATTCACGAGGCCGTGAGACCTCTGATTGGCTAGATATTTCAAGAAAACGTTTTTGCCAAGAAAGAGTTGTCCCAAGTGAGATCTACGTGGCCAGATACTGCCGACGAAGCCAAAATCTCGCCACAGGCTACCACACCACCTGCAGAGAGGCGTTCTCAAAGACCACGAAAAACATCATATGCCGATATACTTGCACAGTCAAAATACGATAGTTGACTAACATTACTGGGTTTCCTATTTTCCAAGATGTTGTGGTTATTAGTCAGATGATTTCTATCTCCTCATTGGTCAATGTTCCCTTGCCTTCCAAGTACTAGTCAAGCAAACCAATATGACTCTAACTTCTTGTACCTGCCTTTCCTTTTTGATCGTTTCAGGGCATTAGCGTGCGAAGCGCGCGTCACCAGTATTTTTGCACTTCTTGCCCTAGACCTGGGGGGCTGTCCAAGGTATTAGCAACTGCACGTGACATAAAGGGGTTGAAAAGGCAGTAGTGTTTGGCCTGCCGATCTTCGTCACCCGCTGTACCCCAGTATATGGTGGCACTGATACGGCATGCATTGGTGATACGCGATACTAACCGAATTCGGATGGGAGGCGGCCTGCCCGACAACTCCTCAAACCACCCCGCGGGCCGTGTGGTTCCATCTTGCGGCCTATTGATGGATAGGGTCTGGTGCTTTCGAGAGAAAGGAGATTATGTTGTTGGACCTAGATAGTTGTGAGAGACACGCTCGTACTATTGATGTCTAGGGTACGCGCTAGGTAAATTTGGGAAGCGATCGACAAGAGCGCTTACGGAGCTAGGAGAAGGTTCTTTTCTCATCGTCGATTGCCGCTGGGACCGCGTCAGTTGGAGCTATTGAGCCTACTCGTGACATAGCGGGATATTGCAAAGACTTTAGCTAGGAAGAAGAATTCAGTCGACGACGCGATTTGGCAAATGGAGGCTAAAATCAGAATAAGAGCGAGGTAGCCTCTGGTTCAAGATACTGCGCAGGATGCCAGTCAGGTGAAACCGTGTCTCGGTTGGGGCTAATCGCTCGGATAAGCTTTGGGACTCACTATCTTCCCGGTAGTCACGAACTGAGAAATCGATCTGTCCCGATTATACAAGCACATAATCGGACCCTCACCGCCCAAGGTAGCAACAAGCTTTTTTAAAGATGAAGATAGCTCAGGTTGTTAAACGTCGGAAGCGGACGGAAGAGTTCATTTAGTCATGGGCAGACCTGTCTCTGACCGCTAGTGCTAGAGACGGGTATAAAGACCCTCTCGCCATTCACCTAACATTTCTTGCCCTTCATACATTACACTTTTAGTATACAATTCTGCGACCAGACACTAGTTGTGAACGTCTTTTCAGATTTCTTCTGGTGAACTCCTTTTTCCTCGACAACACAACATCAAAATGGTCTCAATCAAGATTTCCTGTGCAACTGTCTTCGCCGTACTTGTTGCCCTAGTCCAATCCTCTCCCACTATCGTCTCTGCGGTTCTAGATGAACGCCAGTGCCTTGATTGTGGTTATGCTGGACCCGTATGTTATTAACCTTCCTATAGCCGAATGTTTTGTATTTCATCCTTTGCTGACGTTACATTTAGTGCTGCACTGCATGCAATTGGATCTGTCAAGATCCGAATAACTCAGACACTTGCGCATATGGCTGCAGTGTGGATGCGTGATTGGATTCATGGATAACGCCTAAGCCTCGCCGTGGCCCTTGGCTCGTCCACAGGCAGCCCGGCCCGGCTTGGACAGCACCCAGGTCGCCCGCCCACAGGATTTTTGGGCTTGCCCCTTTTTGGCTTCCTCGGCATAATTAGGAATTCAGGATGAATAGATCGCTAATTCTGCTTGATATACTCCTTTTTAATATTTGTTTCGCTTAGACGTTGACACGGCTCGCCAATACCACCCGGATACTCTGTACCTGCTTTCCGTATGGTTTTGTATGGTAAGAAGGGCCGGTTCGGGATATCGGCGTCGTAACACGCCCGACTAGCCCCGAAGGCTATGAGACGCCTTCAACAGCGACCTGGTAATTAATTCTTCAATAAAATCGTTTAATTGGCTCCTTCAGTACTAGCATGTACGAGAATCCTTCGACCTGCTAGAATCCACTAATTGCATGCTCTAAAAACAACGCTAAATGTGCCCCCCGAGCGGACGAGGGATAGGTGACAAAAAACACATGGGAAACAGCAAGGATTATGAAGAGAGCATGGAAAAGCCAAATTAACAAAGTTGATTGAGCAGTCTATTAGTAAGAAGAGACAATGGCGGCCATGGGGAAAGAAGGAGGGAAAGATCTGATAGGACCAGAAGGGCTTGTAAAAGGCCCGAAACTGGTTGTGACTGTGATTACCTTCAGGCACACGTACAAAAGAGAAAAGCAGAAAATGATAAATGGGAAAAAACCTCTCTGCAATGATTAACGAAAGGCTGGAAAGCGACTAGACGTCATTGAATCCAGGTCGAACAAGACGGAGAACACACAAGATCAGTAGGGTGGCTGGCCATGCCTGGTATTAGAAAACCTTGCAGTTAGTCAACCAAACCCATTTTGAAATTCCTCAACATGGTGGCTGATTTAATTGCCAGAGAAGCCATCCTTCAGATTAACATATGTGCTGGTGGGATAGTTCAAGTTGTTAAGAGACTGATCCAAAGAGCCAGCGCCTCCAAACAGAGAGACAGTGGTGCCGATGAGACTCAGAGTATCGTTTCGGTCCATGCTAACTTCCCACCAGGCGGTGCCAGCAAGACCCAAACACTGAACATACTCAGCCTTCAGGGCAGCTATCTCAGGAGTATCATAGCTAACCAGGTATTTCTGCTTGGCGTCGTAGCTGTAGCTTCCACCAACACGAGGAATGTTGACAACCTTAGCGTTGAATCCTGGTAGGGGAAGTGCGTTGTAATTCCAAAGCCCTGCGGTACCAAGACTGCCCTGTGTGCCGCCATTGGAGAACTTATCCCCCACGCCATTAGTGCCATTGAAGACACGACCGTACAGCGGGTTCTCCAAAACGAGCTTGTTGGGTGGAACATGACCGTTAAACATGTAAAACTCAAGGCTCGAGTTTGTATCATAATCAGTTGCACGTGGATTGCGGACATCCGGGAACAAGTTTGACAAGCAGCCAGAGTAATTGCTGAATCCGGGTCCCATGTAGTCCAAAGCCATAACAGTGTAGAAATCGAGATACGGGGTCATGCTAGTGAGGTCTAACATGACAGCCTTGTCCTTGTCCGCTGGAGAGGCATAGCTGATCTGGAATGGGGATGTAGCGGCGGTCTTCTCCGCTAATTGGTCCAGACTCTGGCGCAGACGCTTGAGCAAATCCACCATCTGAGCCGCTTGACTGTGATCTGCGACGTACTCATAGTCGATATCAATTCCATCGAAGCCGAGATCTGCGACAAATTGGACGGCCGTATCAACAAAATTCTGCCGCTTGGTGCTAGATACAAGCATAGGGGGAAATTCTCGCGGTAGCTCCAGCCACCGATGGAGAGCATAGTTTTGAGATGGCGGTGCTTCTTCTTCAACAGGAACATCTGCTTGATATTCCCATATACATTCTCTCCCGGTGTAGTGGTATTATCTCCAGGGTACGCATACTGGAGATCGGCCCAAGTGTCACTCAATATACTATGTATAACGTCTGTTAGCTAGGCCTACTCTCTAAAGACGTGGATGTGTTCATACACGCTGCCAGTAGTAGCGTTGACGTTGGCGAAAGCATAGACAAGATGGGTCAAGTTCTCTGCTGGAACATCGGTGATGAAGTATTTGGCTCCGTAGATATCCTGTATTGCGAAAGCACTATTAGCTAAAAGCTCGTCAGGGAATGAAAATTCAGCGTGAGTTCGCTCGTACCCAGTTGCCGAAGTAGGCAACGGCTTTCATCCCACCGTGGATTCCACCGCGGTTGCCGCAAGAGATTTCAAACTTGCCATCTCTATGATAATGTCTAGGCTTCTCATGCTGACCCAAGACACCGACAACAGCGACGAGAAAAGTGGAAAGGGAGCTGAGACGCATTTTGCAACAGTGATGTTCTAGGCGAGGTCTTCGGTTTGAAATGATCAGTTCAAGGAATGACTAAGGTAAGTATACAGGAACAAGGAATGAGTGGACGGTTCAACAAAAGTAACCGGGCGATACTGTCCTCGAAACTGGTGCAAATGCGACCCTTTCATAATTTAGTGAATATGGGGTTTCTTAAGATTACAGTCAACCTTGTATGCAATTCCCCTGTTGGATCCGGCAAAAGAAACACAGGTAGCAGCCATCGGACGCCCCGAAAGGCTCGATTCATCTTAAATAAAGTTCAGGAGCAAAGGTAAGCCCGGTTGACGCACCACTGGAGCTCCATGAAAGTGCGGAGCTAATTAGAGCAGATGATTTATCCAGCCGAAATTTCTCCATCGGCATAACATTGAGTTCTAGAGGAACTTCGGGTGGATATATGGGAATAAATTACTTCAGTTTTAGGTAACGGATCCGCAGATCTTGCGACCAAGACCAATGGGTGGCGCGATGAAAAATGAGGAAACGCAGATAAGGTATCTCTCTTACTTTTCGGTACGGAGAGACCTTTTGTGTGCCTTACTAGTCACCGCGTACGTACTCCGTAACCGTAAGCAAAATTGCCAAGAAGCCAACAGGTCCTACACACCTTATTCAAAATGCTCGCCATTCTATTGGCCGGCTATGGGCCTTTGATTCGAGTCGGAATGATGGCTAGTAAGCACGCGCCCCCACAGTTGTGGAGTAGCATCTGTACCTTGTGGTAGAAGTTTATTCATCGAGCGCTATACACCACAAGCAGCGCCACAATCCATGAGCGTAAGCCCCGACTCAGTTCATACCACCTCCGTACTCTGTCGGTATTATTCGAGTCTAGGATTGTCCTAGAACCTCGGGTTCCTTTTCCGCGCCCACTGCATTATCTACGGAGTGCCCAATTTTCCGACACTTAAGTAGAAGTCATCTGAGGGGTTGTCTCATTTATTAATACCCTACTGTTGCTATGACTTTCGCTAAAAGTATCTTTGTCTATCTTCCTCGTAGCTGTAGTGGAGCATTTACCAGCTACTTCCGGGTAGTTGCATCCAGTTGACAGCTGTTCTGTCTCTGCACTTGCCTGTGTTGTGATATGAGGCTGGTGCAGATCAGGAACCATGCCGAACCATCGGAATTAATCCCGAAGTATGTATACGAAGAACCAAGTTGATTTGGAAATCCTTCTCGTTATAGCCTCCCTCATGTTTCCCTCTGGATAAATGAAAATCCATCTTCCTTGGAACTACAACAAGACCAAGTGGCTCTTAAGAATTCTTAAGACTGCAAGCAGGTACAAAATAACGGCCCACTTCATCTTCGTGGTTTTTCGCGTTGAAAAGGCGCGCTGCGCTCCAGAAACAGTGGTGTTTAGAGTTCATGGCCAAACACGGCCAGAGGCGATCGAGAAATCCGCGTTCCAGAAACCGCGGGTTTTCGAGTTCACGACCAGCAGAACTCCGAAACGGTCACTCTACCAGGGGATGAACTTAAAATGTGCTTAACAAATTTATTGCCACGCCCATTTTGACGCCTGGCATGGAAGGGAGGGAGCTTGGTTCTTTCAAACAATTAATGGTGTCCGAGGAACGCATCAAGTCTTGGTCTGTTATGACAGGGAATTTCTGATTTTGAGGGCCAACAGAAAAAATGAATGTCTGCTTTGGGAAATTTGCCAAATGCACAGCGTAGCTAGCCTGAGCTTCTGGCCTCTAAAACTTTTTTATTTTCCTATTTTATTTTCACAGAATAATAAGCAAGGAACCTAGGACAGGAAGGGGACTTGAATTGGAGGCCTTAGGAATATGGCAAGAAAATGGGCACAGCTTGGTTGTCCAAGAGGATATCGTCCTTGACGGGCAGGTTGAAGTAACTTCTGCAACTGGGGGGTGCCTGGGTATTAGGAGATGCGCGTGATTTAGAGTGGAGACTGTTGTCTAGCCAATCTTGTTCAATGAATACCCTACTTCTTTCACTTTTGTTTACAGTCAACTCTCGCTTATACCACGGTGGGATATTGCACATTCTTGATAATAACACATCCCTTGCTTGGATGGCCCCTTCATTCCAGTTTTTTCCATATAAATTGACAGAATATAACACATTTTGTTTTACCACACTTTCTTCCTCTCAAATCTGCTTAGTCAGCGCAATCAACCAATCAGAATGCCTCAATCTACAAGCTCTCCTACCCTCCCGACCCCACCCAAGCGCGTCAGAATGGGACCAAAGCGTACCAATTTGGGTATATCAGACGCGCAGAAACAGGCACTACGGGCATTTTGGTCTAATACTAGCCCAAAGCCCACGCAGACTGCATGTGCTAAGTGGTTTGAGGACCAATTCAAACAAGTGATTGACCGGTCAACCATATCAAGGATCCTTTCATCCAAATACAATTATCTTGATACGGGCCCTGCAGGGGCAAACAAACGATCTTCATCCTCTCATTGGCCATTATTGGACCAAAAGCTATATGACTGGGCAGATAACCATATTGGCAATGGAATACCAATAAATGGCCCTTTGATCCAAACTAAAGCAGCTGAGCTTTGGAGACAAATACCGGAATACAAAGATCGGACCAAACCTCAATTCTCTGAGGGTTGGTTAACTCGCTTCAAACAACGCCACTCTCTTCAATATCATACTTTCCACGGAGAAGCTGCCTCAGTCCCATCCTCGGTACATGATCAGATCAAAAGCACCAAATCGATTTGCAATCAATTCAAACCGTCCGAAATCTACAATATGGATGAAACTGGCCTATTTTGGCGACGTATGCCAAATGGTGGTCTTTCAAAGGGAAAAATTGCTGGCAAAAAGCTTGATAAAACACGAATCACTATTGTTGTTGCATCAAATGCGGATGGTTCCGATCGAGTCCCTTTATGGTTGATTGGCACAGCAAAAACCCCTCGCGCACTCCGGGGGTTAATTTCCGAGCTCTGGGATGTGTTTGGCGTCACAACAAGGCAGCATGGATGCGTCATGACATTATGGAGGACTGGTTGCGATCTTTCTATGGGCGTATTCCCTTAGATAAGAAAGCTTTGCTCCTTTTAGACAATGCTTCACCACATGTTATTGGACTCCAGCGAGCGCCACCACCACCCCGGATTACGGTTGTTTTTTTGCCAGCAAACGCAACTTCAATTTATCAACCCTTGGACCAAGGTATTATCCAAAACTTGAAGCACCATTATCGGAAGAAATGGATGCGCTATATGATTGCTTTTCTTGATCGTGGGATAGACCCAAAACAAAGAATGAGCATTTATTATACTGTTACCTGGGTAACGCAAGTTTGGAGAACAAGTGTATCAGACCAAACGATTATCAATTGCTTTAAACAAAGTACTTTGATTAGTCCAAAGTCTATACCTATGCCTGAGTCCGCGCCCGAGTCCGCACCTGAGTCTGCACTATTTTCCGAGCCCGGATTGAGTGATGAGATTGAAAGTCTATATAATCAAGCAATTGATAAGCTTGGTGATAAAGATATTGTGCCATTTGACGAGTTTTTGAACCCTTCGGACGAAGACATGTTAGAAGATGGGACTGAAGGGCGAGATGAGACCAATGAGCAAGATATATATATTGCCCCAACAACCTCAGAAATTCAGGATATTGACATTGATGGGCCCCCACCTGAGCTTCTGTCTAATTCTGCTATATTGGACAGCCTCCAGGATATCCTACTATGGGTTTGTAGCAAAGAAAAGGGTACCTCGGACCATATTAGACAAATTGAGAGCTTAATCAGCGACTTTGGCAGGATTCAGATTGATGAGAAACGTCAGGTGACTTTGGATCAGATGATGGGATGGAAGACTAAATAGGTATTAGGGCTTAGAGTTAGCTTGTCAAATATTATGTCATCCTCTCACCAAAACACAACTCAATTATACCACGTAATTTGGCTTGGATAGTATGCTGTGGTATAAGCGAGAGTTGACTGTATATCCAACTGCTCCTGCTGTGTCAATGAGCGATTAAGTTAAAAACAGCGAGAAATGTAGCCATTGGAGGTATTTCGTGCCAGAACCGAGTCGTTGAATTAGGTGGCACCAAAATCTCCGGTGCAGTTAAGCTGTGTCCAGGCAATTAGTTGAAATGGAGCAAAAAGCATCTTAAACTCGTCAGCGAAGCCGCGAGGAGGAATATTCTATTTACTACGTTGATGGCAGGCTGAACATCAAGTCCAGGTCTCGGCGCAGCCGCTACAGCCGTAGCTATAGCTAGAGTGATCATTGCGGCTAGTATCATGGTTTGCATGCTTAGCAAACGAGGACCTGCGGTCGACCAGGTTAGGGGCTGCCCGGTTTATATCGGGGCGGTAATGACGTCAATGAGGGCAATGACCGGTCGGTCGGTCGATCGGTGAACAGGAGGGACTTTGAGCAAATAATAATACCAACTTCTTTCCGCAGGCAAAGAAGCCGAGGACCGATAGTACAGAATTTCGGTTGGCTGATGGAAGATTATAATCAGTTATCCTACGTGTTCTGGCGCTTTGTGAGCCTCAAAAAGTTGCGGTCCAACCGGGTTTCCAACCGGCCGATAACAAGCAAAGCCGAGCGGTGTCGTTTGCATATTGTGGAAAGACATTGTTCACTTCCAGGTCAAAATATAGCTTCACGCTTAACCACCTATACATGCATTTTTGTGTTCCAAGGATGTAATATGATTCGCGTGCGATCAATAATATCGCTTGAGGTAAAGCGGAAATGCTTCCATGGGCCAATGATGTCTACCTCGCTCTACATTCTCCCGTATACTTTATAACCGGTGCCATTTGGGGCTTACTTACTTCTGAAAGCCTTCAATCGACCTCTGGGCGCACATGAATATGAATTGGTTGATTGGCACTAAACTGTGGATAGATGCAAGGTATGAGGAGCTCATGATCTATTTGTTTCAGATAATGATAATGTGCCAATTAAACAGATCCAAGAGATGTTTTCATCCCTCAAAATCTTCCCGAAAAGTAGGCAGCTCTGTGCCTCCTGTGGAGTGTGCTGAATCTACAGGACGAAATGCACACACCAGCCTACCCGAGATCGGCACACTTCGCTGCCAGCTTTGCCATGGCCCTCGATCGTCTTTCTATCATGTCAAGCACCGAGGAGATCCATTAATGTTCCCTCGAGAAGGGATCTGCTCAAGAAGGCGGACCGGCTGTGCGGCGAACAAGGCCAGGCTCCAAACTTTCCATGGTGCCCTCCCTGTGATACATGAACTGCCGGCGGAAGATACAGTTACCAATGAGCTGAAAATTCAACCATTGTGCTGAGACCGCGTCAATCGAAGAGGCCTCCACTAGAGGCAGGCACAGCGGATTCGACGCGCGGCGGATTTGACTGAGGCGGTGAAACCAACCTATGCTATTAGGGCGCAGAATGACGCTGGTAGAAGTTCATAGTTCGGTGACTGTGATCGTAGGCTTTCAGCGCCCCTGTGCCAATCTATTTTCCACCCACTTCGAGTGGTTGCTCATTTCGACTTTTCCAGTTTGCGTATCGTTTTCTTTGGGCAATGGATACTGTAGCTTTCGGCTGTCCGTTGGCAATCGTCGTACTTGGTGGATAAGCTTATCCTCCCCTGCCCCTGAGGCTTGGTGTGCTGGAGCCTGGCAGTCTACTGCAGACTTGACGCTGCCAGAAAAATCTTCGTCACCATCCGGTGCAGGGCTCATATCGGGGTCGAGAACGATCAGCTGGAGATTCCTCCCTGCGTGTGGCTGTACAGCTTTCGTCACAGCCCCACTTATTGATGGACCTGCACATACTGTATGGGCTGTTAGCATGGTAGCCGCAATGTTGCGCCTTTTCAACGAGCGATGATGGTAGGATGTTGGACTGGGGACACTCACCCGCTACAGCCATAGCTCCGCATCGGTTATCGAGATGCCGTGCAACTTCTTCCTCGATCTTGATAGAGCCAAAAAAGTAACAAAGCATTGCGTTATGCTCGTAGGAAAGGTTTTCCTGGGGGCTTGACTGAGTACGCGGGCAGTAGATGCTGAATCGCAAAATCTGAAGCACGGTCAGATCGCAGCGCCCAGGATGAGCTGCACTAGCAAAAAGCTCACCTTGAACGATCTCCAGTCGCGATTGAAAAGGTCTTGCATCCATTTATTTACCCATTGAGGATTTTCTGTCAGAACTTCAGTCAGCAAAGGTGGCTTTCAGACTTCAAAGTACTTGTCGGGGATAAAAACATGCCATCTTTGCCAACTTGTCGCTTCCAGAGAACCTCTAGTTTTCGCACCATCACTTCACGCTTGCGGCTGGCCTCCACCAACATCTCAATATATGAAAGCGCTCGGAAAAACCCAATGTCCTCTACCACGAAGAGGATGGTACCGAACCGATAGAAATCCAGCGGGTGTCCGTAGGGTCCGAGTATGATGGCCGACTGCTTGGCTGGAGATCTCAGTGCTTCGTGGTACAGCTTTCGTGCAAGCCCGGGTCGAGACTCTGCTACCATACGGACTATTCTTTGAGTTGGTCCATCTTCCCAGAATGCAATATAAAACCGAGGAAGTTGAATGATCAGGGGGCACCCACGCCCCAGTACTCACAACATTATTCAGTGGATCTACCGCAAATCACGCAACAATCCAGCCGCCTTGAAAATGAAGCCCAACCGACCTCCATGTTGCAGCGACATTGTCACCCCTCCAAAAGACCATATGTGCAAATGCTAGAATTGTCACCCACCGTTATCGAACAAACAAGCGTCGACCACGACACTGAATGCGCACCCGTCCTGCCCGCGCATCGTAAGAAATACTCTAAGGAAGAATGTTATTACACCTGGCACCAGCGCGTTGTTCTCCAGAAAAGTTGGGCCACTGTCCTCAAGAACTTCAACAGCCGATTCCCGAACCGTCAACGTCTTACTGCCAAGCGTTATGCCTATGCCGGGATTCAGAACAAAATCAATCGTTTCACCAAACTGGAGAACTTGCCCAACTATCGAGACCGATTCAATGACGCTAATGCTTCCTTGACCGATAAGGATTTCATCAAATCTTGCACGAATGTTTGGTTCCCTTGGATGGAATGAGTTCCGCTTTTGACATGGACTTTGTTACTGGAAACATCAAGAAAAGGCCAGACCGTGGTTATATGTTTTAATGATGCTGGGTACCGCGCAGAACCAAAGAAACTTTATTCAAGAAGGTCGGCCATATCATTCATATGCCATCGCCGTCTGTCTCGTGAAGCCAGGAGAATGATATCATGTTCGTCGTGGGAGAGAGGGGGATCTAATGTAGAATAAGGCCAATGGTGCTCATATATCTGTCTGCTGAAAAGTCCCATCGGATCTGGTATACAGTTGATGTTGTGTTGTGTTTATGTGTCATGAACGTTTGAAGCAGCATATTATGGTGATAATGTGGCATCGATACCCAAGCCAACCTCTGACTGACGAAGAAGATCATTCCCTTCTTTGGTAATCTGTATTTCCTCCATGAGACCAAAATCGATAGCACATGTAACTTGCTCATTTGGACAAAGAACCTGGCGTACTCAGAGCTTCAATGTCTGCCGTCCATCTCTGGATCATTTGGGGAGCTTGTACTTCAAATATAGAAGGATGCTTCGCCATATAATCCTGCACAATGGCCAATGACTGCAGAACTTGTATCTTTTCAAGATGCGCTGCAAGTCCAGCAAAATCTGCTTCCTTAGAGTCTTGGTTCTGGCTGAGCTCAAGGAATCCACTCGGCAATGGAGCATGGATATCTGGTGAAATAAGTGGGCGGCGCACATCGTGGGGATAGACTGGCCGGTCGGTGACAAGCGCTTCAGAAGCATCGCTGAGTAGAGGCTGCAATCCATTCCACTTTGGACTTGCAAAGTCCTTTGAAGATGAAGGAGGACAAGACGCGAAGGTTGGCTCGTGACCGCTCGAGCAAATATCGGAATCCGTATATTGGCTGAAGGGCGCGGAACTGCATTGTACGGCCTTTGGGTCAGCTTGGGGTTTGTTCAAGTAACAGAAATTTCGCAATCCAAACCTCTCGCTTCCGGCTCTAGCTGAAGAAGCTATGTTGACGTCCAATTCTGGTTGGGCGACCTTTGACTCGTCGCTTCTCTCTTGTGGCAGCCGTCGGCTCTTTCGGCGCTTCCGAGGCTTTAATCGCAACGTGTCATCGAAATCGTTGGTTTCAGGGCGGTCTTTCTTAGGTCGAGGTCGGATGGCGCGATATTTGGGGGACGAGGGTGGGGGAGAGGGAGAGACCGCGCGTGGTGCTGCCAAAAAGGGTGCTGGAGGAGGTTGTTCGTAGTCGAAGTCGTGAAAACTAGTCTCAAGGAACCTGGTGTCCACTACCGGAGGGTATATCGGAATATATTGCGGGGAGGTATATGAGCTTGGGTAACTGATCTGACCAAATGAGAGCTGATCTCTAGTGCCCATGTTGATCCGGAGTGGAGGCTTTTGAGCGGAGACGTGGGATTCCCCTAGTATATGAGGAAAGGAAAATCTCAGGGTATTTCTTAGCAATGAACAGTATATCAACAATGGTAATAATGGAATTGATGTTTTCACGTTGCCGGGGAGTACTGTAGGATGGGTCTTTATAATTGACAATTGGGGGGAGGAGATTGGCGCTTCTTCTCGGTCACAGGGCATTGCATTAGTGAGTGCCTCTAACTACATACGACCTCATGTTCGTATTTCTATTGGAAGCTAGCGTAGACGAATTAAACTTTGATTTTGGCAGTCTGATTGACGCTCGACTGCCCAAATCCCAGATGAACATTACTTGTTGTTGCGAGATTGACATTAGGACTGGATCTATCTAACGAAGTCTGGGTTGGACTGCAGGGGTTGGTGGGGACTTCCATGAAGGGAGCGCCTGTGCTGAAGCTGACGGGGATTTTATCGTAATACATGCTACCAGAAAATTGAGTTAGCCTGAATTTGTGTGCCCAAGAAGACTGTGAAGGACAGTTACCTGTAAGTAATTTGTGAAGGAGGCTGGACGAGTAGATGAAATTGTATCCTGCCTCCCGGTCAATGCGCCTGATAACCGGAAGGAGCGATTGCTTTTCCTAGACATTAGAATGGGCTCGCCCCCTGACTGAGAGAATAACAGTGCCTGCATTCATCGCTGGTGAAATACCCTAGTAACAGAATACTGAATTGGATGTAAGAAGGCTGTTTCTCTCGCCTTCCAAACTCAGCCATATCTCCTTCGCTAGTACATACCGTAGACGTTATCTGTTCAATGAAGATGCCTACCAATTTGGGACATGCATTGCTCATCATTGGCTACTTTCCCTCACTAGTCTGAAGCCCCATGGACTTCGGTTTAGCCCCTCTTGCACTAAGGGTCGTATTGACCGGCACATTGACTGGCGCCTCCTACAGCTAGCACTTTCGCTGCAGGTCCACACAGCGGTTTTACAGAGACTCCTTTTCAACTGTTATCACGGTGTATCCTTAGGTTATGTACTGCTAAACTATGGTATTAAGCGGCGCCCAGATGAAAACCTCCACCTTCATTGCGCACTATAATGGTGTTGCTTATGGTCAAAGCAACGTTTGGATACACTTCTTGCATAAAGAATCATCTCATCACGTCGGGTTGTTTATGCGCCCATTGAAAGACTGTTGTAATTCCAGGCAGCATTGTGTCTTCTCAGGTGGTACTACATAAGGACTCAGTTGATGGGCGCCCACATGGCTTCATATCGGTATTGAAGACTTTCTGGATAAAGAAAACCCATGATAGTGTTTCTTTGTCTTTTTTGGTAACCTCGATGTCTCTCCAGGAAGTGCAAAATTTCCTAGGGGAAGCGTGATCATATTCTCCGTTGAAAAGATGGAATAGAACTGCTTTCATCTCTTTGACTTGTTAGTTGGCGTAAGCAATAGGCTTCATGCTTACTTACCACGGGCATTCATCTCGCGAGGACGCGTGTATCTAACTTCTTCTGGCCACCAACTCGGTCTCTCCACATATGGTGGCCGTTTAGCATTTGTGATAATAGATATCCACTTATTAAGAAGATCACGACACATTCTTGAATCCAGGCTATTGAAGCTTGCTTGATAAAGTTCCTTCAAAGTTCGAGGGGCCCGGGGTCGCTTTTGCGACTGCACTCGGCGACAGAGTACCCTTATGACTTGGTTTGCTATAGCGATATGCTTCCCCTTGGCATTCCTGAGTACCTCTGAGTACATAGTATTAGTAGTGTTTTTGAGAGACCCTGGCCTACATACCGTTTCCGTTGTTTTTGCTTTCCACATGCACCGCAGTATTTGCATCACAAACTGGGAGGCCTTCAGTATAATTCACCACTGCCAAAGTAGTGTGCAAATTTGGATTGAACTTTGAAAGAATATCTGGAATGAATTGCGAGAACTTGACTTGATGTATAACCGGCGTTTCACTAAGACCAGTTGTTGCGCCTGTGATCGAAAACGCTCTTCGCCTTGTTAATAAATGGAAAAAGATTCATAGAATGCAGACTCACACGCAATTAATGCTGGCGGTAGAATGGTCAATGGGGAGGTATCTCAATTAATGGCATGAAAACATACTTGTCCTGGAAAATAACCCTGGACCACCCAACCGTCGGGTTCTCAACTAAGCACTTTGCCACGCACGACTGTTCCAGCAATTCATGAATCAATCCGGATCTCCGACAAAGCTTTTGCTTTTTCAGTTCCACAAGGGCACTGCATTCAGGATACCACCTGTCGATATAAGCACGGTTCAACGCAGGGTAACTAATTACCTACTTCCATATCCTGTTGGCAAATGTGAAATGCTGCCACTTTAGATAGAAATGGAACCCATTTAAGTCTGCCTGAGGCCCAGCTTGCGTCAGATTTGCATCGATAATGTGACAGAAGATGTGGTCATTCATGTGAGACTCGCCGATGTGGCAGGGGTATTCCTCATCGGTCTTGTCAAACTGGCCAGAGAATTGTCCGGGCGCATGCTTAGTCGCTTCAATGGGGGTAAGGGTGTACGCCTCTGATGGCTTGGTGTGATCTAGGCGGGACGGTTGGTTGTAACTGCGCTCTTCGACATCAGACACCACGGGTAGAGCTGATGGCTGGTAGTACGAATTCGAGAATGTAGGAAGAACTGGAGGCATAAAGTTTTCAGTCTGGGAGGATCTTCAAACGAATGTCAGCGGGGCACTACGCAGCCCAGTATTGGAGGGCATTTTACTCAGCTCTCTCTGACTTGCCTGTTTTTGAGATTCAAGGCCTGCCGGCGCTCGCTGTATGCCGGTAAATCCCCACGACATGGCCTCATATTGATCTCAGTGACGTTTGTGGGGTTTGGACTAGGCCTGACAAAGCTCGCTGCAATGGTATTACTGTTGTATGATTCAAAGGAGAGGTAGGACTCGACTTGCTGGGTTCGCAAAATGCTGCAAGTGCTGAGGCCCCCTTTTTCGTTGATCCAGGGGATCGAGGGATTTGACCCAGGAAATCTGGGAGCCTTCCAGTGTTCTTGAACTTTTTGTGAAAGGTCAGTATTTGGTTCGTAATAAGAACGGAAAGCTCATCGTACGCCGTTGGATTTGGCCGTCCAGAAGCTCTGGGTCGGGGCCTTCGTGACCTTTTACAAGGAAATCGGTGAGGTTGGCTGACTGTTGAGGGTATATCTGAGGTCTGTAAAATTGGGTGCTAGGTACCGGTTGAGAGCCAGCATTCTCTTGAGTAGCCCAGTAGGGATCGAAAGGTGTAGGCACGGTAAAACTTAATGTGGTACTATTAGTATCCATGTTTAAGCGACACGCCAGCAAGAAAGAACCTCAGGATGCTGGTCCGCATTTAATACAGGCGAGAGAACAGCGGTAGAGTGAGAATCCACTAGTCTTAAACTAAGCAATGGCTGCATAGAGTGAGATACAATTTCTGGTACCCTTGACGCACAGGCAGTGCTCGCGCGACTATTGGGTACCACAAAAGCAGTCATTATTTGACGGGCCTGCCCTTCTTTCGCCTGCTCTGCTCCACTTTCCAACCCAGTGAGCATGTGAATTATAACTACAGTTGAAAAGCCTCGTTTATTTCCGGTGGGCTTTTCC